CTGCTGCTGCTGCTGCTGCTGCTGCTGCTGCTGCTGCTGCAGTCCGAGTGTATGCACAGGTTCGAGTGTATCGAGTACATCTAAATCAAAAATTGATATATAACTTTCAAAGCTCCCGACTGCAACTAAATTTTTCTTCGCTGCCCCGGGCATCAAACCCAGCCACTCTAAACAAAGAGGAAAACCCCCGCACTGCACGCACAAACCACAAACCCTAAACCCTAAACCCTAAACCCTAATGACACACTCATGCGGCGCTATTCGGAAGGCACACGGGGCTCGCTAGGTGGGAAGGATGTCTAGAGTTTAGGGTTTAGGGGTTACGGGTTAGGTTTCAACATATAGGGTCTAGGGTTTAGGGGTTAGTTTTGAGGGGCTAGGGTTTACGGTTTAGCGGGTTAGGCTTCAGCGTCTAGGGTTTAGGGTTTAGGGGTTAGGTTTGAGGGCTAGGGTTTATGGGTTGGGTTTCAGCGTCTAGGGTTTAGGGTTTAGGGTTTAGGGTTTAGGGTTTAGGGTTTACCATGATATCGTGGTGTACGTAGAGGCTGCCTGTGGAGGTATCATGCACATACACCTCAAGTGTGCTGAAGTCGGCCTCTGCTGCAGCAGCAACAAGAACTAAGTCTGTTGCTAGTATTTTATTAGCTGCTTCATCTTCTGCTTCGTCTGCTGCTGAAAGTCTTGCTTGTTTGTCTGTCAGTGCTGCTGGGCCGTCAGACGATAAAACCCCAAATACCCCGTTCAGCAAACCCTCTGCATGCACACACAAACCCTAAACCCTAAGCCCTAAACCCTAAACCCTAAAACTACAGACACGACCAGTAGCATGCTAAGTTTCAGGGTTTAGGGTTTAGGGTTTGCAAAGCAAACCTCAGCGTTGCTGCCAGGGGTTAGTTTGAACGTCTCTTACGGATACCCAAAACAGGAGCAGGGTTTAGGGTTTAGGGTTTAGGGTTTAGGGTTTACCGTCTTCGTCTTCGTCTTCATCTTCCTCCATGCTGTGATCGGAATTAGCTTCATCGCTCTCTCCATCTTCTGCTGCAGCTTGCTGCCGCAGCAGCTGCTGCTGCTTCTTGCGCTGCTCCTTCTTGCTGCTGCTGCTGCTGCTGCTGCTTTGCTGCTGCTGCTGCTGCTGCAGCAACTCCGCCATATCCTGCTCCTCTAAAATGCAGCTACGAGGAGACTGCGAGCTGCGACCCCGAGGGACCCAGCAGACGGAGCTGATCATCACTTTCTCCGCCATCTTCTAAACCCTAAACCCTAAACCCTAAACCCTAGGCCGTAGGTGTTTGGGCTGCAAGCCCAACGCAGCCTTCTGCTGCTCCAGGCACCAGAGGTAACAGAAAACAAACCCTAAACAATAAACCCTAAACCCTAATGCAGTAACTGCTGCGCGGATTCCGATGGGTTCCAGTGGCACTGCAGGCCACAGGGAAACCCTAGAAAAACCCTAAACCCTAAACCCTAAACCCTAAACCCCAAACCCCCAAATTTATTGCTGCGTTTGTCTTTTAGGACAATAAAGACAAATTTTGCTGCCGAGTTAATCGAGTGGAAGGCTCAGCTCGAGCTCAGCCTACTGTGGGGCGGGGGGCCCCAAACCCTAAACCCTAAACCCTAAACCCTAAACCCTAAACCTCTCGAAATTAGACCGTAACTCTAAATGCACACTTTTTCTGCTCTTTTTCTGTTACTAAAATGCAGATATTTCCCCCACTTAACTGCTGCCAACTGTGGGACTCCTTAGCCCTAAACCCTAAACCCTAAACCCTAAACCCTAAATCCTAGAGGGCCCTAGTTCTCTATAGCATCATAATTTTCTGTTTGTTGCGGTACAAACAAAGCTGGCATTAAATTAACGGCCTTAAATTTAGTAATGTTTAATTCTTCAACATCTGCTTCTGATTCAGACACAACAGCAGCAGCAGCAGCAGCAGCAACAGCAACAGCAGCAGCAGCACGAGCAGCAGCAACAGCAGCAGCAGCAAGAGCAGCAGCAGCAGCAGCAAAAGCAGCAGCAGTAGAGGCTGCAGGTATAAGGGCCTTCGCCATCTCTGTTTCTGCTGCTTTCGAAAGTAGCTACAGCAGTGTTTGGGCTGTCTCAGTATGGTAGCTAGCTAGCTATACGTGCATAGCTAGCTAGCTAGCTAACTAGCTCTGTACGTATCTAACTAGCTAGCTAAATTAGCTAACTAGCTAGCTAGCTAGCGGACTAGTTAGCTGAATAGCTAGCTGACTAGCTAGCTGGCTAGCTACCCCATCTGTTGACCCGTAGTGCTGCTTCGTACATATTTAGCTAACAGCAGAAAAACCCCTAAACCGAGCATTTGGCTTGTTGATTATAAAGCACTAGGGTTTAGGGTTTAGGGTTTAGGGTTGTGTTGATTATAAAGCACTAGGGTTTAGGGTTTAGGGTTTAGGGTTTAGGGTTTAGGGGTGTAGGTAGATCTGGGGGAGGATTTGCTGGGAGCACAAAGACAAACCCAAAATGCCCGATACAGGACTCAATATATACACCTGAGGGTTTAGGGTTTAGGGTTTAGGGTTTGGGGTTTAGGGTGTTTGTTGCTCTTCGGGTGTCTATGCACCTCACGCGCCGCATGCTGTGAGAGCTACTGCCTCTTCTTTTTAAGGAGACGAGGGCCCTGCAACAGCAGCAGCACCACCTGCTGCTGCTCCTGCTGCTGCTGCTGCAGCAGGAGCATTAGCTGCACATACTACAGCAGCAGCAGCAGGAGCACTAGCTGCAC